ACAGGATTTACAAACAGTGATGGAGATGAATGCATGATCATGAAATTAAGACAGAAATGTAGATTATTAGTAGTAGTAGTAGTAGTAGCAGAAGTAGTTGTAGTAGTAGTAGTAGTGGTGGTAGTAGTAGTAGTAGAACTAGTAGTAGTAGAAGAAGTAGTAGTAGAGGTAGTAATATTAGTAGATGCAGTAGTAGTAGTAGTAGTAGATGTAGTAGTAATAGAAGTAGTAGTAGTAGTAGTAGTAGATGTAGTAGTAATAGAAATAGTAGTAGTAGTAGTAGTAGTAGATGTAGTAGTAATAGAAATAGTAGTAGTAGTAGATGTAGTAGTAATATAAATAGAAGTAGCAGTAGTAGTAGTATATGTAGTAGTAGTAGCAGTAGTAGAAGTAGTAGTAGTAGTAGCAGTAGTAGTAGTAGCAGTAGCAGTAGTAGTAGTAGCAGTAGTAGAAGTAGTAGTAGTAGAAGTAGTAGTAGTAGATGTAGTAGTAGTAGTAGATGTAGTAGAAGTAGTAGTAGTAGTAATAGTAGTAATAGTAGTAGTAAATGTAGAAGTAGTAGTAGTGGTAGTAGTAGTAGTAGCAGTAGTAGTAGTAGCAGTAGTAGTGTGCTCTCATCACAAGGTGAAACATTAAATCTAGAACAGCTCATGTACAACTGGTCTCGTTCATGTCCAAGTGCAAAAAGACCGTATAACAGGAAACAAAGTGGGAAGAAACGGACCTGACTTCCTCCTTTCAATGTAAACTTCTTTTCAAAATAAAAGCACAAATAAAATTTAATGCCGGTAAAAGAAGAAAAAAAGGATGTTTTCTCTGCTGGGTTACATTTTGTTTTAGCGTTTGGGAAACAGCAGAGAACGTCACAGCTAGCAGAAGCTAACCATTAGCATTAGCAACTTAACCACACAGCAGAAGCTCCTCCAAGCTTGTGTTATTTGTGGAGATCAAGCATCCATGCCTCAGACCAAATGGTGTTAATAGTGGAGTCACGTTGCTGTTATCCAATTCGAGGCAAGATGTCCAAATGTCAGGAAATCCTGCTGCATTGTGCTGCAGCCGACTTGTCCATGCTGATCCTGGTACTTCTGGGCTGTTTTTGCCCCGAGTACGGCTTGCAAGGCATTCATTCCTATCAGAGACCACTGCAAATGTAATGATTCAACGAGTGTTCTACACTTTAAAGTAAAAAAATTCTTATATGTTTATGGCGTCTACACAGAAAAAATAGAAAACAAGCACTTTTAAATATTTCCTCAAACAACTCAAGTGAAACTAAGTTCCAGAAAACTGTTAACGCTAATGTTGCTTATGTGCTCATCTGATTTAAATTATAATTAAATTGCTTAGATTTGAGTGGTGATGATCAGCATGCTAGTTCTAATAACTAACAGGGAATCCGATAGTCTGTTATCATAACGAGTCCCATCGGCTCTCGGTGTTCGAGAGATAGACACGAAGTTCTCTGGTTTTTCTGTTTTGTTTTCTTTTCCCTGATGTGTTTGAAGCTTGCAAATGTCACTGCTTTTCAGCTGAAACCCAGAGAAGGGTGAAGTATCGTCAGACAAAGATGAATATGCATTCTCCTCTGTGATTTCTGTACAATATACACAGTCAATCCTAGAGGGGGTCCTGCACTGTGGCAGGCACCTGCTGCCGAGTCCTAAATCAGCCTCATTATATTCTCATTTTCAAATGCTGCTCATATACTCTCAAGCTTGTGCCGAATATGGTCAGCATCATTTTTATCTAATGACTTTATAGTAATGTTGCACTCTTATTTTTAACGCTCTGCATTCCTCTTTCACCTGCCCTACTTTGCTCTGTCACACTAGTTTCACAATACTTTAAAGACGTGAAGTTTTACTTTCAACCTCCACCTTCTGCTTCTTTTAATCTTAGACACCAAACCTAAAGTGCTAAAGACAAAGTTCTGGAACAGTGCTGTGCTCTTCAGATCTAAATTTCAGCTCTCTCTCTTTCATGCTATCTCCAGTGAAGTAGTGAAAGTCATGCTGCTGCACCAATTACCTCTCTTCAGAGTTTAAATAAATGAAGTATCACATTAACTATTTCTATCTTATTACTCACATTTCTTCTGATCTGCCCCTAAAAACACCATATACCGTCGTCGTCTTCCTCCGCTTATCCAGGTCCGGGTCGCGGGGGCAGCATCCCAACTAGGGAGCTCCAGACCGTCCTCTCCCCGGCCACCTCTACCAGCTCCTCCGGCAGGACCCCAAGGCGTTCCCGGACCAGACTGGAAATGTAACCTCTCCTAACGTGTCCTAGGTCGACCCGGGGGCTTCCTGCCAGCAGGACATGCCTGAAACACCTCCCCAGGGAGGCATCCAGGAGGCATCCTGACCAGATGCCCAAACCACCTCAACTGACTCCTTTAGATCCGGAGGAGCAGCGGCTCTACTCCGAGTCCCTCCGCAATGTCCAAGCTCCTCACCCTATCTCTAAGGCTGAGCCCGGCCACCCTGAGGAGGAAACTCATTTCGGCCGCTTGTATCCGCAATCTCGTTCTTTCGGTCATTACCCAAAGCTCATGACCATAGGTGAGGATTGGGACGTAGATCGACCGGTAAATCAAGAGCCTGGCTTTCTGGCTCAGCTCCCTCTTCACCATGACAGATCGGCTCAGTGTCCGCATCACTGCAGACGCCGAACCAATCCGCCTGTCGATCTCCCGATCCCTCCTACCCTCACTCGTGAACAAGACCCCGAGATACTTAAACTCCTCCACTTGAGGTAGGACCTCTCTCCCGACCCGGAATTGGCAAGCCACCCTTTTCCGGTCGAAAACCATGGTCTCAGATTTGGAGGTGCTGATCCTCATCCCAGCCGCTTCACACTCGGCCACGAACCTACCCAGCAAGAGCTGAAAGTCAGAGCTGGATGAAGCTAGGAGGACCACATCATCCACAAAAAGCAGACGAGATTCTCCTGCCACCAAACTCGACACACTCCACACCACGGCTACGCCAAGAAATTTTGTCCATAAAGGTAATGAACAGAACCGGTGACAAAGGCAGCCCTGGTGGAGTCCAACCCTCACCGGGAACAGGTCCAACTTACTACCGGCTATGCGGACCAAACTCACGCTCCTCTGGTAAAGGGATTGAATGGCCCTTAACAGAAAGTCACCCACCCCATACTCCTGGAGCGTCCCCCACAGGGTGCCCCTGGGGACACGGTCATAAGCCTTCTCCAAAGCCACAAAACACGTGGATTGGTTGGGCAAACTCCCATGCCCCCTCCATCACCCTTGCAAGGGTATAGAGCTGGTCCACAGTTCCACGGCCAGGACGAAAACCACATTGCTCCTCCTCAATCTGAGATTCGACTATCGATCGAACTATCGATGGTACCATATACCATTTTTCAGAACTATTCAATATTATACTAGTGTGCAGAGATGTTCACTAGTCATATTTTCCAAATAAAGTGTATCCAGTTTTTGAGGGTCAAGTCAAATTTCAAGTAGGTCACATTCAGTTTCAGATGTTTTCAGCTAAGTCCAAGTCAAATCTCAAGTCTTTGTGGATCAAATTGAGTCTTTGAGCATCAAATTAGGTTTTAAGTCTCTGAAAGCCGAAATCAGTGTCAAATATTTGAGGGCCAAACCCAAGTCAAGTCTGGTGTTGTTTAAGGTCAAGTTCAGTCTCAAGTCACATTTTTAAATTTTCATGAACACCTTGTTCAGTCTGAATCAAATCTAATTTTACTGGTAGAGTACTTTCCATGAAATAATCAGCACAAAATGCTTTACAAATAAAACAAGACAAAGATGAATTCTTTGGGGGGCAAGTTTAGTCTCACATAGGGCTGGGCAATAAATCAAAAATGTATCGTTATAGAAATTTCTGACTCCTTTCGAGATAATTTTTCCCATGTCAATAAATATTATTATCAAAAAGGAAAATATGTGTTCATGCCCCTTTAAGAAGCTGTACCACCTAGAGACACGTAAAAATGGGACTCCATGTAATACGTATGACAGCACCATCTAGTGGACAACTGTTGTTTCTCTGCATACCTGTAGCTATCGTTATCGAGGTGAAATCCTCAATATATCGTGATATTGATTTTAGGTCATATCGCCCTGCCCTAGTCTCACAGCATATCTTAAGTCGTTTTAAGTGAAGTCTTTGAGGGCAAAATTGAGTTTAAAGTCTTAAACATTTAGGTCAAGAACAGGGTCTACTTGAAGTAGTTTGAAGTCTTTGAAAGCCAAACTGAGGATCTAATATTAGGCCAGGTCCAAGTCAGGACTCAAGTCATTGAGGGCTTTGTTTAGGCTAAAATCTGTGAGGGCCAACTTCAGTTTTATGTCAAATCTCTCAGGGCCAGGTCCTATCGAAGCTTTAATTCTTTTGGACCAAGTTCAGTTTCAAGTCATATCTCAAGCCTTTGTAAAGTTAGTCTCAAGTCAAATTTCAAGTATTTGATGAAGGCCACTGTCAGCCAAGTTCAGTCCAAAGTCACATTTCAAGTCTTTGAGGGCCAAGTTGACTCCTAAATCTTTGATAAACAACTTTAGTTTCAAGTCAATTCTTTGAGGGCAAAGTTGGGTTTAAGCCTTAGAAGGTCAAGTCAAAGTCATGTCCTAAATTCCTTAGGGCCAAATTAATTTGAAAGGCCAAGTCGTGTCTCAAGTCTTTGAGGGCCAGGTTGAGTCTTAAACTCAAGTCCCTTATCTCTGCTAAAGCATCTTCTACTGAATTTATTTCAAACAGAATCAATAATAATGATTAATGTGCAACTCGTGGACCAAAATGCAAAAACATGACAAATCATTTTAAGGTAATTTCTGAAGACAGGCTTGGATTGTGGTGGTTTCCTAACAGAAAATTACACTAAATTGAGATATTGAGTAGAATTAATTTCACCTTTGAGTTGTCTTGTTGTAGCAGATCAGTGTTTAATCTATTATTATGTAAAGCTGGAAACATTGTTAACCCTTTTCTATCCCTGCCACATTTCTTATGCAGATGCCAAGGCCTGTCCTTCCAACGACTTCCAGTGCCGTGATGGAAAGTGCGTGGCACCAATCTTTGTTTGTGATGGGGATCATGACTGTGAGGATGGCAGCGATGAGGAGAAATGCTCAGCTCGCACTTGTGGCCAGCAAGAGTTCCGCTGCAACAACTCCGAATGCATCTCTGCTCTGTGGAGCTGCGATGGCGACCCGGACTGCAAGGACAAGTCAGACGAGTCCATGGAGCGCTGCAGTCGTAGGACAGAGCCCCAGAAACCTCACTGCCCAGTCGGAGAGTTCCAGTGCGACAGCGGCGAGTGCGTGCACATGAACTGGAAGTGTGACGGCGACGCTGACTGCAAAGACAAATCGGATGAAGCAAACTGTCGTAAGTCATCTGTGCATACATTGTGCTTCTGATGAGCAGATTGATTAATGTGTGTGGTGTGTGCAACGATGAAAGGATTCCGAAGCATTCGCTATAATTACTATCAAACAAATCTCTCACAGACTACATTTATTCTGCTAACAACAATTGCTTGTGCTGTCACGAGATGATGCGGCATCACCGCGGTCCCCTGGACAGGATGTGCTGTTCAAACACTGAAAAAACCCATTAAATAATCACACCACTGAAGTTGTTCTTTATAGAGTCAAACTCATTTCAACTGTTTGGCAACGGAAGAATCGCAAATGTGTTCAGCTCTTTTGGAATGATCCAGCTGGAATAGAACAGTTAATGTGTGAAATGTATCAGCTCTGTGCACAGCTGCTGTCAGAAGGATAGATCCATTGTTGTGTTCTGTTGATATAATTGGTTAATGTTAGCATGCAGCTCTGAATGAATAAGATTTATGCACCTCAGCAGGAATGTGTGCTGTGTTGAGGAACAGTTGGTTTATGTGAGGCTTTCCTCCACCAAACGTATGTACATGAAAGACTCACCTACTACTCCCTCTGAACAAAGATTATGTGACAAATGTTCCTCCAAATGACTGAAGGAAGATCACTGCTAACCTTATCGCTATGATCCTTTGGTGTGTTGCTATGCAACCATGTGGTCTTCACAAGCAGAGCAACAATCTTTGAGTGCATGTTTGACCGTATGTGTTTTCTGAGTGTGTGCGTGTGTGTGCACGAGTGGGAGATGAGGGTCCTTCATCAAGCAAAGCCCCCATCTGGTCTCCTCTTCACACTCCCACACACCACTCGCGACGATCACAGCAGCTTCGCATGTAAGACATGATACAAGCACAGCTACAAAGTGATGAATGCTCCCTCAAAACTCAGACAGATGCAGAAATACAGGGAGATGCACTGCATGGAGGAAATGTCTGCTCTTACATTTAGTGTGCTCATGCTTTTCCTGCACTTTTACATGCAGAAGCTGTAATCAGGGCACTAGAGTGATACTGGAAGAATTTCTAATGCTTTGGAACTTCAGCTATCAACAACGTCGTCTTCCTCCGCTTATCCGGGTCCGGGTCGCGGGGGCAGCATCCCAACTAGGGAGCTCCAGACTGTCCTCTCCCCAGCCACCTCCACCAGCTCCTCCGGCAGGACCCCAAGGCGTTCCCGGACCAGATTGGAGATGTAACCTCTCCAACGTGTCCTGGGTCGACCCGGGGGCCTCCTGCCGGTAGGACATGCCCCAAACACCTCCCCAGGGAGGCATCTAGGAGGCATCCTGACCAGATGCCCAAACCACCTCAACTGACTCCTTTCGATCCGGAGGAGCAGCGGTTCTACTCCGAGTCCCTCCCGAATGTTCGAGCTCCTCGCCCTATCTCTAAGGCTGAGCCCGGCCACCCTACGGAGGAAACTCATTTCGGCCGCTTGTATCCTCGATCTCGTTCTTTCGGTCATTACCCAAAGCTCATGACCATAGGTGAGGATTGGGACGTAGATCGACCGGTAAATCGAGAGCCTGGCTTTCTGGCTCAGCTCCCTCTTCACCGCGACAGATCAGCTCAGCGTCCGCATCACTGCAGACGCCGAACCAATCCGCCTGTTGATGTCCCGATCCCTCCTACCCTCACTCGTGAACAAGACCCCAAGATACTTAAACTCCTCCACTTGAGGTAGGACCTCTCTCCCGGCCCGGAGTTGGCAAGCCACCCTTTTCCGGTCGTGAACCATGGTCTCAGATTTGGAGGTGCTGATCCTCATCCCAGCTGCTTCACACTCGTTGCGAACCTACCCAGCAAGAGCTGAAGGTCAGAGCTGGATGAAGCTAGGAGGACCACATCATCCGCAAAAAGCAGAGACGAGATTCTCCTGCCACCAAACTCAACACACTCCACACCACGGCTGCGCCTAGAAATTCTGTCTATAAAGGTAATGAACAGAACCGTTGACAAAGGGCAGCCCTGGCGGAGTCCAACCCTCGCCGGGAACAGGTCAGACTTACTACCGGCTATGCGGACCAAACTCACGCTCCTCTGGTAAAGGGACTGAATGGCCCTTAACAGAAAGCCACCCACCCCATACTCCTGGAGTGTCCCCCACAGGGTGTCCCTGGGGACACGGTCATAAGCCTTCTCCAAAGCCACAAAACACGTGGATTGGTTGGGCAGCTCCCATGCCCCCTCCATCACCCTTGCAAGGGTATAGAGCTGGTCCACAGTTCCACGGCCAGGATGAAAATCACATTGCTCCTCCTCAATCTGAGATTAAACTATCGATCGGACCCTCCTCTCCAGTACCTTGGAGTAGACCTGTCCAGGGAGGCTGAGTAGTGTGATCCCCCTATATCTGCCTTCCCCCACATTAAGACAAACAGATATGGCTGACATATAAGAACTGTTCTATATTTTGTCAGTCCAATGTTGGTTTTATGCAGTTTCACATTCTTTACAAAACAAAGATAATATGGTGTTTTATTAACAAATTACAATTACAGTATAAAGAAAACATTTAGGTGTTAACAAACAAGAATTTATTAACAAAACTGCTGATGTCTTTCCAAAACGTATGTGAGAAAGCCGAGTAGATTTGCAGTAATGTGACGTCATCGGCACCCGAGCAGATCCTGTATAGACACAGACTTAATAGGACTTTGCCTTTAATATTAACACATTTTTTATAAATACTCCTAAACAAGTGACATTTTTTGGCAAATAAGCAAAGGAAAAAATTACATAAATACAAAAAGAAAGAAACACATGAATACCGGTAATGAACGTAAAGGACAACTTAGATAGTTTCTCCTTTATTCCTATTTTAATGCCTCGAAATCAAATGACTCGGACTGGGAGCAAAACAAATGTGGTTGGAAACCCCCTATTTAGATAAAATGTCTAATTCAGATAAATAAAATGGGCTCAGGAATTTTAGTAGTTTCCTTATTTCAGTTAAACTGTCTGCATAACCTTTACTCCATGTTTCTCAGTTTCAGCGAGGCATGAATTCATTTTATATGAATTTGAGTCTGTGTGCAGGCTCATTACCGGGAGAATAAAGGAGGCTGGTTGGGGGTCTTTGTAAAACAAGATGTAATGGTTTTAGGTTTCTGTGTGATGTAAATGAGGCCGTGCAGCACAGCTTAGGGAGGTGCCGCGTTTCCGTGTAAAAGGGAGATCGCTGCTTATATGCTGTTTATTCCCTTCTCCTCCTCTATCCTGTCATTCCTGCAGACTCAAGTCTTCGTCTTTATCTAACGTCTCATTTAAACATCGGCCTCAACAATCACTTTTTATTTCACAGACATCTTGAGACAAGTGACTGTGAGAAGGGTAACAAGAGGTTAATAAAAAAGAAAAATGGTCACAAGTTTTTTTTTCTGCCAACACTCATACAGATGGCAATCTGTAATCATTACAATTCATCTTCAGGGATTAGCATAATTAGCTGAGCTCAGGGTTTAATGATTTGGATGGAATAATTTGCACATTTTGTGAAGGAGCAGGATTAAATCTGTCACTCCATTCTTGTTGCAGTTTTTCTTTCACGGTCTTGTTTTCAGGCTTCAACTTCCTGTTGTTTGATTCCACGTGTCTCTGTATTTGTCCACTCACCTCCACGCTTTCGCACTTTTGGATTTTCCACTCTATTTCCAGCTGCAGTGATTGTGCACCGCCGATTTTTACACGTTCTCCGGTTATTGATCGTGTCTGCCTCCATGCTTCAGCAGAGCAAGCCCAAAACACAAAGCATGAATTATTAAATAGCCAGTTAAAAAGATGAATGAGAGAAATAAACCAGTCCTCCGCTGTTAGAGCACAAACAAATGTCTTCATGCAGCACACACACACACACACACACACATTCCCAGTAGATCACTAGATGGGCGTTTTACTTAAGCACGGTGTGGACAGCTGCCCTCTTTTCATTTCAATTCGTGAAGATGTCTGTGTGCAGGTACTAGTTTTGAGCTGGTTGATTATTCTGGGATTAAAAAGCAGTTTAGTGAAGGTTTGAAAGAAACCAAATATACAGAAATGCATGTAATTAAGGAGGAAACTCCTGGTCTCATCGTGTACAAGAAAAGTATTTGCAACATAAAATCCACAGCTCTGTTGATCCTTATACATGTCTGCATTGTGTCCCTCAGCCCTGCTCACGTGTCGACCGGATGAATTCCAGTGTGGCGATGGCTCCTGTATTCACGGCACCAGACAGTGTAATAAAGTTCACGACTGCCCAGACTACAGCGATGAGGCGGGCTGCGTCAACAGTAAGCATCACCTTATTTGTATTCTGTTGCATTAATTCATTTTCTGAAGTTTATGTTTTCACACTTGTTAGATAAGACTTTAGTTACATAATTAATTTTCTATTTACTACTACAACTTTTATTTCATTTCAAAAAATCATAGAAGTACTGAGATCTTAGATCAGCCTTACTGTCAGTCTTCCTAAAGTTACTACAGGACCTTTTTGTTGCCCTGCACATGATTCACAGATAGTATTATTACTGGGGATGTTCGATATCAGCGTTTTTAGCTATATTCAACATACTGATGTAGTCTTACCCCTACTTCAAACTGGAAGCATCAGCGGAGCAGAACAGTAGCAGAACGGTTTACTCACAACTTTTGCTGCACACCGGGAGAAGCTCCGCGGTGCTCCTCGCTGGACTCGCGAGATCACAAAGTCCCTCGAGATTTGAAAGGTCACAGTTTGTTTATGCCATCCACCAATAAACTAAAAAGAAGGAAAATCACATTTGATGTGATATATGATGTTGCTCTTGGCCACTGCCAGGATTCAAAAAGACTGCTGCACTTGAATGATGCTGGGACTAACTAAACTGTTAGGTTACACATTGACATAATCTACATAGATGAGAAATTGCATTGCAGCAATTGTCTTTTACTGTATATGTTTGAAACTCCTGGTTTCAAAACCGTATATGATTTCCTGTCTAGCCCTATATTAACTGCAGAAACTGTCATGTCAAGCAGGTCACAGCAAAAATAGAACCCATTTTTGCTCAAAAATAAATAATCAATGATGAACAAGAGTCTGCTTCTAGACCTGCAGAAAGAGAAAAACAAACAAAAAAAGAAGGGGACACACAACATTACAACAAGAGCAAGCTATCACTGTGTCAACCTGATGAGGAAATATCAAATCAACATTGTTGTACTGAACAATCACACGATAATAACTCAGAGTGCATTTAGTGCCAACCACAGCCTTACGACATGTGTTGAAAATGCCCAAGTGCATACTTATGAGAGCACCATGTGAGCACCTGTGTGTGTACACGCGCTTGTTTATGTAAGGTCTCTCTATAGAAGCGTCCAATGGAGAGTGTGAGGGGCCACATATCTGCCCCCCAAAGATGTGTAGGAGATGGAGGGAGCTCCAAGCCCCAGAGATCCAGGAGCTGCCCCAGAGCACAGGGACCCCAGGGAGACTGTAACCAGAAAAGCCCCAGCCCCCTCTCGAGAGGCGCAGAGGATTGCCCTGGAGGGCCACAACCAGCAGCCGGCTGAGTCCCGGGAAATATCAGCGGCAAGCCCACAGGCCCGCCCGCAGCCTCCCAGCCCCTAGAAGGCCGAGCCCGGAACCCAGCGACCCGGGACCCAGGGGTGTTCAGCCCCGCCGGGGACCCAGCAGAGCCCACGGTCTCCGATCCCACCAGACAGCCACCGGGATCGATCAGGCAGACTCCAAAAATCTTAAACCCCCTGACCCAGGAGCCGCAAACACTCAGGCAGACCAAGGCACCACACTCCACACCAGGTGTGGCAGGGGGAGGGGAGGTGAAGATGTGTAGTAGTACAAGAAGTCCCAGGAGAGGGGAGAAGTCCAAGACCCCACCTGACATATACAGCCATACACAGACACCATCACACACTCCCTCCCTCATGCTCACACATACACATACAACCTAAGACTTACAAAAATGAATGCTAGACACCCACTCATGCTCCCCATACACACCATATTCACTCTGGTCCCGGTACTGCTGCACATGGGGTACAACCATCACCGTTTCCCAGAATTCACCCCTTTCAGCTGGGGTGATGATGACCAGGCACCCTCTGCTGAGCAAAGCATCCCACCACCCCAGACCCCAACATGACCGCCAGCTCCCCCTCCTAGCCTCCAGCCACGGGAAGCCAAGAGACAATAGAGGTGTGCTAAGACCCTAGTTTCCCTCTGCCACCTCCACTACAGTGTTAGTGCGTGTTGATGAGGTGTATTCCATGGCTGTGGTGAGCGGGCAGTGCAGGCATCATCTGGCCTACACCAGCTGATGCAACCACACAACCTCACTTCCCCCCACAGCCCTCTGTGTCTAAGTGCACTTTAAAATTTGGAAGTGGGCACCGGCTCTCAGGATGAGGCTGAAAGATCCCCTTGCCAAATGCTGTTGAGTGTGCTCACTCCCAAGGCCCTAAGTGTGTGTTTGTGTCGAATGTCGTTGGTGGAAGTGTTAAATGTGCAAATAAAATTGGGGGGCAGACTGCCACAGGAATGCGGAAATGGGATCCATACCCACACCCCTGACTTGCCCACCCCCCAAAATCCTATGTGCATGATTGTGTGATGATGTGAAGGAGCAGGAGGAGAACAATGGATGGGGAGGAATAGCTGGTTGGCCTAGGCCCTCCAGGGAGCCAGCTCCCCCACTGGCCCCAATAGGCACTTCCATTGCCAAAATGCCCCCCAGGGCATGGACACCCCAGCCCATCTTGCCAGGGCCCAAAGCAGCAGCATCGCAGAGCCCCACGGAGTCCAAGGGCACCAACCCAGCCCCACCCCAGCAGAATATTTAATCCCATCCCTGCATTTACACAACTTCCAGAATATGTAAAACTTTAGACATCCATGTAAGGATGGGTCCTCCCCCTCCTGGACATCCCCCTCCTCCGTGATGGGACAGAGTTATTATTTCAGAGTCAAGGTCCACCTCAGGCCCTTGAGCCTGGGCCATGCACTGCCGCTTGTTCTTGCCTTCTTCCTGGCAGCTTACGAGTCAGGACCCCATCCCCAAGTCCCCGCCCAGATCCCCACACGGGGCCCGCCGCCCCCACACCCGAGCCCCCAAGCCACCACCCTAACCTACTCAGAGGCGATGCAGTCACCATGCAGCAACCCATGGTCGCCGCCAAGACTCCCCAAGGGGCCCCACTCACAACCGCCAGTAGTCCACCCCCCGAGGCAACCCATGCACCTCTAGACAGGGGCAGCAGACACCCCCCAGGGAAACCACCTCCAGGGAATGTCTGGATTCTCCAAACTCAGACCCTCCGCCCCATCACCCACATCATCCCGCAGGACAATATCAATGACCTCATATCATCGCTATGTGATGGAACCAATCAAAGGAGCCCAGAGAGATTGACTTGAAGTGGAAGCAGAGGCTATATCAAGTGTAATATGATCTAACAAAAGATTTCTA